ATCCAATAAAACCCATTTTCATGATTATTATATTATAATAATCAAAGAAACGTTTCCCTTACCACTCCACCCCACTACCACCCCACCCCTCCACCCCACCCGTCTTCCCCATAAATACCCGTCTTCCCCATTCTTACCTTCTTTATGCCCTCAAAAACTACAAAAAAAAAGCCGACGAACTCAAAATCTGCAACTTCATCAAAAATGGCCTCCTCCGCTTCTGACGAATCCAACAACAATGACAGCCGAATCCAATCCACCGGCGCCGATGGCCGCACAATCGTCTTCTTGCCCATGAAACCCAACAACCACATGGTTGAACTGAGTAACACCCTCTTTGATGACAGGTTTGCGATAATGATTGAGTTCTTCAAGAACTGTATCCTTCTCCCTGCCTTAACTCTAGTGAACCCAAACGTACCCTTAAAGTACGTTCAACAATACTGGCAGACCTGCGAGTTTGATCCTCCCAGTCATGGAATAATGGGGGACATAGACGCCCCAAATGACATGGTTTGCTCGGTAAAAATTTCGCGAGCAAAAGTTTCTAAGATTTTGTGCAATCCTACAAGAAAGGAAGTAGGGATCGAGCAATATGACGAACCACCTTCCTCCGACGACATCCTCAGGTTCGTAAAAATGCTAGGGTACAATCGGGGACTTCGAAATGTATCAGACTTCAAAAGACAATTCCTCCCGCCAATGTGGAATTTGTTYTTTTCCATCCTCAACCGATCCCTCACCTGCAAGCTCGGYWCCCTCRAYMAAGGAAATCTCAACRTAATGACAATTATGTATGGGCTTTTCTTCAACCTCAATCTCGACTACGCCTTCCACATCTACAACGAGCTTCACGTGGCCGTAATCAAAAAGTGCAAACTTCAAGCCGCAGGAAAGCCACTATCTGCTGTCCTCTTTCCCCACTTCCTTGCTCTTTTCATTGGGGACGCGATGGTGCAGCACGGACTACTGCTGCGGAGCCTTTCACCCCAAACTACAAGATGCAAGGACATCGCCCAACACTATCGAAGGAAGGATACACCATAAACCGACCGCTGTCCCGGGCTATGCTCACTATCATACCATCGACAAGTGAGATACGCCAATCCTGTGAACGCTCCATGCTGTCCCAAGAACCGAGGGCAGCTACCCCGGAGCACTTAGAGCCGTCCCCCCTCCAAGCGAGGGAGCACCTGCGTCATCTTCATCGGATGATGCAGATGATGATGCTAGTGCTTCCCCCGGCCTTCACCAAAATATTCCCCACCCCACTACCCAAAGGGCAACCACATCTACTACCGCTGGCAATCAAAGCCAAAGGGGTATTGAAACAGGACGACTCAGTCCCACCCAAACCCCAGCCAGCCATCCAGAGGCCATTCTTCGGGCCTCTGGGGATGAACAAGCCGAGGAACCTCATATACCATCACCCCTCTCTCAACAGAGAGGTGATGAAGAGACAAGAGCCCCTTCGCCTTAGGGCTCGCGACAACCCCTCACACACACAGAAGCATTTGATGCTTCTGACATTGAACCAATAGATCGTCCAGAGCGATCTTCAATTTGTGCACCACTCCCCTCGGTATTTGATCTACCAAAAAGGACACACATCCGCTTCACTTACTCAGCCTCTGAAGCTAAGGAAGAGGATGTTCCAACATCACGAGATAGTTCTTCTCTCGAAGGCTATCAAGGACATGATGGAAGTCCTTCGAGGCCTACCTTTGCACAAGGCCAAGAGGGCGCCTCAGGAATAGAGCCCCAACCTGCAGCATCTGTTGTTACAGGGGTTATCCCTTTAGCTGATCTGGTCACAAAGGCTGAGTTCCAAGCCTATGTTGATACAGTGACGCGGTCCTTGGATGACCTTAAACTCCTCGTACAAGGGATTGTGGAAAACCAACCCTCACCCGATACCCCAGACCTCCACCAATCCCTTGCCATCCTCCAACACCACCTAAACCGAATAGATACCCAAACCCAAACCAACTCATCCCGCCTCCAAATCCTCCAACAAACAGTAACCCAACAACATAATACCATATAATCCTTAGCCACCCAACGAAACCAAATACTAATCCAATCTATCACCACCCTCACGGCTCAGGCAACTGAGGCCGATGAAAACTTAACCTACATCATTACCCAACTCCAAACCATCCTTCGCAATCTTCATCACCTACCAGCCTCCATCACCTCCCAAATACCTCAACCTCAACCTTCATCCACCTCATCCATTAATGAAACCCTTGCCACCCTCACCACCCAAATGGCCACCATACAAACAACCCTCACCCAATTACCCGCCACCATACTTGCCCAAATCCCACCACAAACTCAAACTCCACCTCCCTCTGCAGGCCCTTCCTATGAAGCAGCCTTCTCATCCTTCACTATAGAGGGGAGGAATCTTCTTGCCAACCATCCCCATCCCCCATCGTCTGCTACAACCTCTGTGCCACCTCCACCCTCAACAGGCATAGATTTTGCTACAAGAGCCGATCTACGGGCTCTGTCAAAGGCACTCATCTCATCATTCAATGAGATAAGGAACGGGTGTGCACTCTCGCTTCCCATATTCGAATGTGGAAAAAGAAGAACAGATCAAGAGTCTCCTGCTCTTCCAGCCGCCCCCACAAGCGACCAAGGCATGAAGACCAAGACCCCGATGATCAAGGTCTTGGACCTCATGAGGGGGAGACAATCATCACCACAACAACCACCATCAACCCAACAAACCTAAGCAAGGGAACCAGAGGCCCTGCCCTTTGATGAAGAACAGAATATCCAAGTTCCCTCAGCCACAATACCAGACCCCATCGTGTTGAGTTCATCAACCGATGAAGAACCAAAAACACCACCTACAGAAACAAACCAAACCCTCACTTCCTCACCCACAACAAACCTACCATTAACCCCTTCTCCAACACCTCGACCCTTCACCCTTTCCTCACAACGAGAACCCACAACAAACCAACCATCACCTCAACGATCACAATCACCCATAAAAACCATGCACTAGAAACCTCTCCACCACATGAAACTGAACCATCCAAATAAAACTCACCCTCTACCCATACACAACCCCAAGCCGAGACACAACCCTTAACCCAACAACCTGTGGTGCATGCGGACATCCCTTCTTCCTCGAGGCATCCTCCACAAGGCCTGGTACATGAGATTATCCAGAACATGGAGTCGATGAGGAGACGTCCTCAATTGCCGCCCAGGGAACCAATCTTGATGGAAAATATCCATCAGTACATGTATCAAGATCGCGATGAAAGTTTGTCAACCAATCCTCCAATCCTATCGCCAGAGTCAATGAACCTTCTACATCATCGATTTGTCAGACAAACCACTCAAGAACCTCAAGTTGTCTTTTCGAATGAGGGAATAAGGAGAGTCATTGACTTGAAGATAAAGTCTTTTGCCAACAGAGCTATTCGATACATCTAGTTCAGCGTGGAGAGTGCCCATGGGATCGTTAGCGTGTTCATGAGTAGTATAATTCTTCTCGTGAATCTTCAGTTGTCTCGATGCGTATGCGAAAACTTTTTCCTTTTGCATTAGTACACATCCCATCCCTTGATGTGAAGCATCACAATAGACTACAAAATTGTCTACTCCCTCTTGTAAGGCCAAGATCGGTGCGTTGCATAACTTGTGTTTGAGTGTCTGAAAGGCTTCCTCTTGTTTCTCTCCCCAAATGAACTTCTTATCCTTTTGGGTTAGAGTTGTTAGTGGTTGCGTTATCTTAAAAAAAATTCTCAATAAATCACCGGTAATAACCTACTAATCCAAGAAATTGGCGGATCTCGGTTGTCGTCTTCGGGGCTTCCCATTTCTTAATGGGCTCAATCTTAGCTCGATCAACTTGGATTCCCTTTTCATTCACCACGTGGCCAAGAAAGTGCACTTCACGAATCCAAAATTTGCATTTAGAGAATTTGGCGTACAACTTTTCGTTTTTAAGCAATTCTGGTATCAGTTTTAAATGTTGCTAGTGTTCCTTTTTGTCTCAAGAATAAATAAATATGTCATCTATAAACACGATCACGAACTTGTCTAGATACGGTCGACATACTCTATTCATCAAATCCATGAAGACTGTTGGTGCATTTGTTAGACCAAAAGGCATAACTTGGAACTCGTAATGACCGTATCGAGTCCTAAACGCCATTTTGGGAATATCCTCTTCTCGCACTCTCATTTGATGATATCCAGACCTAAGATCGATCTTCGAGAAGTATGTAGCTCCTTGAAGTTGGTCAAATAGGTCATCAACCCGGGGAAGGGGGTATCGGTTCTTAACAGTCAACTTGTTGATTTCTCTATAATCGATACACATTCGAAAAGATCCATCCTTCTTTTTGACAAACAAAACTGGAGATCCCAAGGTGAAGAGTTGGGTCTGATGAATCCTTTATTGAGTAATTCCTGAAGTTGTTCCGACAACTCCTTCATCTCAGATGGTGCTAACGGATATGGTCCTTTTGCCACGGGTGCAGCCCCAGGAATTAGTTCTATGTGGAACTCAACTTGTCTTGGTGTGGGTATTCCAGGCAATTCATCTGGGAATACTTCGGGCAATTCCCGAATTATAAGAATATCTTGAACGCGTTTTTCTTCAGCTTTCTTATCCATAACGTGAGCTAGAAAGGCAATGCAATCCTTTCTCAAATACTTTCGCATCTTCAAACACGTCACTATTTTAATACCCCTTCTGGGTTTCTCTCCGTGTACTTTGAGTATTCCCCCTTCGGGTAACGAAATTCGAATGATCTTCTCGATACAACTAAGTTCAGCTCGATTCTTGGATAACCAATCCATGCCCACAATTATGTCAAAACTTCCTAGTGGAATCGGGATTAAATCTATACGAAAATCCCTACTAGTCAAGTTTAAAGTGCAGTCCATGATTATATCTCTGGTCCTAATTTCTTGGCCATTGGCAAACTTAATTACTAATCACATCATCAATAAAACTCTTAAGGTTAAGACGATAGTTGTTATGGTAGAAGCAAAAGGTTAGAAAACAAATTAGATCTTCTTGATGACCAGAGCCTCTGGTTGACCAGAGCCCCTGGTTGAGGTTCCCATACTTGGAACTACATTTGACTTTTAGCTCATCGGCCTCTGGCTCAACCTTCATAGCAGTCCATTGGATCTCTTGRTCYATCAATTTCAGATTCCTCATATACAGTAAACCGATGAATCGTCTTCCATCAACCTTCTGGTTCCTCATACATAGTGAACAGATGGATCATCTTCCAATAATCTCTAGTTCCTCATACTTAGAAAATATTTCCCATTCATAGACCAAAGCCTCTGGTTCTTCTAACCATAGCTTCTGGCTCTCGAAATCAAGCCAACCAGAGCTTCTGGACGCTCTTCACTTATATAGAATAGTAGTCCTGATTCAAAACTAGAACGCAATTCTCACTATGTCCAGGCAATTTCCTACCTAACGCAATAGTGCAAATTTTGAATACAGAGGSTATACCCCTTTATCTATGTCTAGCTACCAAGTATTTAGATACAGAGTTGACCCTCGGGTTGTCTTAGCGCTCTATATATCTTGCTTCACTTCACAACCAGAGCTTCTATTTAAATTAAGGTGATGGATATTCAAGATTCATACAAACACACACGATCATGCTTTTCAGGTTTAAGATAAAATCTTTGAATTTGACCTTCCTTCAAACACAACCGATGGGAATTTTTTATCATAATACTTAAGTTAAACAAAGGTGATCAGGCTCTGTTTAATTTGAGTATTATAACACGACTTCCATCCTCTGGTTATACTTAGTAACTTTGTTTTGAAAACATTTGGTTATAGTTTGGTTTTAAGAAAAACCGGTGTTCTCTATAACCTACAACTCTGATACCAAATCTG